TAAGGTATTTACGAAATTTAAGCATTTAAATAACATTCTATGCAAAAATTTGATAACGATATGTTATTTGATATGCCTGTTATTTGATATGCAACTAACTGAATATCATTGCTTCTGCATGTGACGTGTGTGTTATAGGTTCCGGGCGATGTGGCTCAGACGCAAAATCAAGTCAAGTCTGTTACTCCTAGTTCAACTCAATTTGAAATGGTAATTTCTATTTATAAACTTCCTATGTTCGGTTAATATCATAACAAAATTGCATGTTTTCTGATAATCACATGCAAGTTTATATACAAATTATTCACGTTAAAAATTATTGTAAAACTTTGTTACACTTTTATCCATTTTCCTAAATGCATATATAACTTGCCTGTGATACAGGTTTTTTATCAACTTGTACCTAAGCATGCTTCTCATTTTATGCCGGCATATTCACTTTTTCTTTCTTTTCTTGTTATGTGTGTGTGTGGGTGTGGTGTGGTGTGGTGTGGTGTGGTGTGGTGTGGTGTGGTGTGTGCGTGTGTGCGTGTGTGTGCGTGCGTGTGTGCGTGCTGTACTGTGCTGTGCTGTGCTGTGCTGTGCTGTGCTGTGCTGTGCTGTGCTGTGCTGTGCTGTACTGTGTATATATTTTTTTGTGTATATATATTTACATACATATTTTTGTGTATATATATTTACATACATATTTATGTGTACATATATATATATTTTTTTTTTTGTTATGTTGTTTACATAAAATACTTCTTGAGATATATTTTTCTATATAGTATTTATGTAGGATTAGACATTATTTTTCGTGGATTTAAATTCAGAGCACCTGTTGGGTTTATCTCTAATACATGTATGTATATACATATATGATATATGTAGAATACCACCAAAAAGTCTTGCTTCCATGTCACTCTAACCCAAATAATATACAAATGAAACATTATGCTTTAAATGGAATGCATACAGTACTAATATCTAAATATTTACAAATTTTTTAAACATTTACAAAAAGTTTAATTTAGATATTGGAAAATTGTGTCCTATTATTACAGTATATCTTGTACTGTAAATGGTATCCAGGACATTTTAATATTTTATAATTGGATTAAATCTATTACTTTTTATAAAGGATAATAATATTCGTATGAATGTCGCGATATCTGGTCAGGAAAAATTTGTTTAGTTAATGATATTATACAAAATTGTTACATCAATCTAAAATATTTAAAACAAATATTTATATTACATTCGGTAATAGATAATGAACGTAACATAACATAAATGGTATAGGAAGCATCACCATTGTTACCGAAGCTGGAACCCGATGTACTAGGCATGGGAGTAGGATTGGGAGTGGGAGTAGGAGTAGGAGTTGGGGAGGACAGCATGGACGCTGGTGGTCCACCGTCCGTTGGATCTGCAGAAGCTCAACCGGTGCTCTCCAATACTCAAACACCTGTGTCAACTAAGAAGGTAGGCCTTACCGTGACATTATTTGCTTATAACTTGTTCATATATCGCATTTTATTTATTTCATTTTACTTTTGTTTAGAAAAATATGCCAGCATATATACTTTTTTTTTTTGTTTTTGCACCGTTTAAACTTTGTTATCTAACATTAGACCAACAATTAGATGTTTTACCTTTCAAGGTATAATATCAATTCGTTCTCATAAAGCGGTGGTATTATAATTTGTGTTTTCTTCTGTTTAGAAAACGGCGGGTAAGAAATTAGTTACGGGCTATATTTTATATTCGAGTAAAATGCGAACGCAGATTACACAAAACAATCCTGAATCATCCTTTGGGGAGATTAGCAGAATTGTTGGCAACGAGGTATTTATTTATTTTTTACTGTTGATTTTTAGTTTACTATAAGAACTTATTGAAGAAGAAAAGTATGCAGATATAATTTTTCGGATACTATATTATAAAAGAATTTATCAAAGTTCTTTTTTAGAATTGCTAAGGGAGTATATCATTCTGCATGCTTCATCTTTCTTTTGAAAACAATATGAATATGAACTTTGTCAAAGCTACTATCCATATCTTTTCATTAAAGCAGAAATTATTATCTTTCCTATTGTACACATTATTTTTTATATACAAATTATATATTATTTATAAATTAATCTGAATATTAAAACACGGATTATATAATATTTTATATTTGCAATGTATTTATTACATATTAACATTTTGTATGTTAATCATGCTAATGTGTCATATAAATTAATTATATAAATTTATACATGGAAAGTAGCCCTGTAATTGAAATTAATTTCTTTAACCATTTCATATTTAATCACTGAAAAAGATTTTAAAAAATTATTTTTAAAAAACACCAAAATATTTTAAGAAATGTACCAAATAAATATTTTTTTCTATTTCAGTGGAGAAAATTGCCAGCAGGAGAAAAACAAGCTTGGGAAGAAAGAGCAATTAAAATGAATGAAGATGGAGGACAGCTTAAAGGAAATAATGTTTCAGTAGGCACTAATGCTTTACAAGATGTTGTTTATGAATGTTGCTGGGATAATTGTGATTGGCAGTTTGAAGATATGACTGATTGTATTGACCATTGTATCGCAGAACAAAATGGACATGTTCAACTGTCTTTTGTTAATGCTGCAAGTGGTAAGTGCTATATGTATTACTTCGTGTGTTATCACAAATATTTTTTAATTTTTTAAATATGTGTCTTAATAGATGTAGAATTTCAATGTCAATGGCGTGGTTGTGGTCGTACGAAAAAATCTGTACCTCCATTTCCAAGTGTACAAAGACTTGCAAGGCATGTTAAGGAAGTACATATCCTTAAATCAAATGGCCGTATCATACCTCCTTCGGAAAGAAGCAAGTATGATGTCAAAATATCGTATAATAAAGTAATATCTTTTAATTTATAATACAATATATTTTACTTTCATTTACATTTTTTATTGCAGGAATTATATGGCATCAAAAGGTCCAACGGTATTGCCACCAATGGAAACTGGTAACTAATTTATTTTTAATAAATTCATGATATTTATTACAACTGCCTTCTAATTTTTATATCTTTTTATCATAGAAACATCGGCAGCTGCAACACAAACAAGTAACATGCCTGTTGCTAAGCAACCAGAACCTATGTTTGTTGCTGTTCCTCCAAGACCAAGTCGTGTATTACATTCAGATGCCTACTTACGGTATATAAATTGAATTTTTCTATTGCAATTTAATTTACATTATTAACTTATATTTGGGTACTTTTACTACAATTATAGATATATTGAAGCGTTAAATGTTGAAAATCGGTACATATCAAATTGGGACAAACAAATGAATGCAAATCCTGATAATACACAAATTCCTGATGTTACGAAATTGCCTGCAGAATGGTTAGGCAATGGTGTGGGCAACCATGGAAATGTGGTAAATGCCTTATGGACGCTCAGGAACATGATGATGCGAGATGTGTTAGCTATCAATAAAACTTTATAGTTTATAACTCGTTAAGATTTATAATCTTTAATATTCGATGCTACCTTAAAACTACAATTTTCAGGTCCGTCGATGCTAGATGAAAGACTGAAGATTAATTATTTTGAATGAGTATATTTATATTTTTAGATCCGTTTTTTTTTTTTTCATTTTACAACTCTAATCAGTACTTCAATTCTAACTTAATTATAATACACTTTTTTAGTGATCTTCAATTGTTAACTAGAGCTAACTAGGAAATAGATTTTCTTATTACAAGATTTTCAATGACAAATATAAGATCTGCAATGTATTTATCGTGAATGATTCAATTTAGCAAAAAATTAATTTCTTCACTGAATGAAAAATATGCTCTAAGCATTATTTTCGATACATCGTTTATGGATCTGTTAGGAGTAGGACGAAAATGATACGCTGTAAGAATCATCACTTTGTAAATATTTCGCTATTTTTAATTTTAACTTTTCATAAAAAAATTTTGTATTTTGTGTATCGCGCATCATGAAAGTGTGACTTGAGAATTCTTGTATTCATACTGTAAAATGAAACTGTATTGTAAATATAAAATAATGCACTTCAGAAAACAATCTAATATAGATGATGTTATTATTGTAACTGTGAATATTAATTTTGGTATATAATCATACATTTTTAATGTAATATTTTCATTTACATTTTTAAAAAGAATTTTGATAAAGAATTTTTGGTTAACCATTATCCATTAACTTTTTATCGATTTAATAGTTTCAGTAAATAGTATTAATAAATTGCATATAATTAAACGTAATTAAAGTTAAAAGATAAAATTTCCTTGTATAATAAAGGATACTACGTGGACGGGGATAACTTATGTATCGTAAATTCAATTTATTATTTAAAAAGTTTATATATGAAGTTACATATTTTATGAATATATTTAAAAAATAGAGTTCCTCAAAAAAAAATTAATCAAAACAGTTCCTTTTAAATATATATTTATTATATATGGAATGAAGATAATCTATGCATTTTATTTTATAGCATTTTAATAAAGAAGAAATAAATTAAATATTTTTTATCATTAAAATTATATAAAATTAATTAAAAAACAATTAACTATATTCTGGATTCTTTCAAACTTCGTAATTTTTCTTTTTATTTACGAGACTGCATTAATGTAATTTTTATTTTAAAAAAATATTTACATTTTAATTATTTTATATAGTTTAAATAATTATATTTTAAGAAACTTTTTCTTATTTTATTTCCAGTGAATTTGTTTATTTACATGATTCAAAAATTTGGCAAATGATTATATTTAATTACAAAATAAAATAAATTACTTTAACATTAAATATCCAATATATTAGAATAATTCTTTATAAATACATAGACAAAATTGGTATTATCATTTAATTAATAAATAATGTTTACTAGTAGTACAATAAATTTGATAGTTTTAAACGAATTAAGATTATTGTTGTTTTATACTTCAGATATTCATATCATTAAATGAATTATCACTTATATATCATTTTGAATTAGAAGTCGCTCACCCGCCCACCGTTCTGCCAATCGCCCCACTTTGTTGGATCTTTTTCGCTATTTGTTATTAGTTCTCCATTATTTGGATCAGTTTCCACTAGTACTAAATCAACGAAACGTTCCTTTGGTGGTATTCCTATTATTATATTCTTTTTATAATGATTATATTTTATAATTTATAGTGATTAAACCACAAATGAATTCTATGACTGTTGCTTCATGATTACATGTTATACACGTCATACTTACTCGGTATGGGTTGTAATTTCAATTTTTTATGAAATTGTTTCATTCTTACTGATTCTTTTTTTTCGCCTTTTGAATCTACTTCTTTACTTCGCAATAAGATATCTAAGAATGATAGAAAATGTCCAATGTTAAATTATCAAAATTATTACTATACAAATTAAAATTTAATATTCAGTACCTGTTGAAAATTCTTTAGATTTATATATTAATGACTTTGTAAAAAGTTTATTGATAGAATCAAATATATTAATATTAACATACTTCGAAGAGAGTTTTAATTTGAAAATATCCATATTTGAAATGATTAATGATTAATAAGAATTCACTAATTTTAGAGAATATTCTTTTGTTATTTTTTTCAACAAAACATTTTCTTAGGATATAATCTATACATGTCATTTTTTATAAGTTGTCATATGTTTTGTATTTATGCTTTTACATGTATAATTTAGTATTTATCTGACTTGGATTATCTATTAATTAAAAATATTTAAAAGTACATAGTATGAAAATATAAATAAGAAGTATTTTAAAAAAAAAACTGCAATTTTTCATATTAAATAAAATATTTATTATTTCATATTTCACAAATAATATATTTATTTAAATTAAAATTATTAAACTACAAATACTTGTTTGTATATCCTATGTAAAATACATTACATTAAGATATCTAAAAATCTGTTACACGACCTTTCCTTTCCCAATCACCATATCGTGTTGGTTCTGGTCCACGTGGACCTCCTATTTCACCTGTTTCTGGATTAGTATTATTTGGAAATGGCTTTAATGGTTCTTTTTCTTGATAAGGATGTTTACCTTCTTCTAATTCTTCCAGTTTTTCTATTACGTATTAAACACTTTGATTTGATTAACATTATTCTTTTGAATCTATAATAAAATATTCAAAAAAAATAAAGTACCTATAGGTGTACGTTCTCTTAATTTTTTTCTAAATTCACGCATTCTTGGACTTTCGGTTGTGTCGTTTTCCTTTGAAAATAGAATTCGGAATTCTGAAAAAAGATTTGTTATCTTAGTGTCTAATTATTTTTGTATTTTATTACATTAGTTTTGTTTAATTTTGGAAATACTTACGTGTATGTAGAAATTTAGTTGAAAATTTTGTAATTTCATCATTGACTTTTAATAATTTAATAAATGCTATAACATTTGTAGTAGACATAACCTTATTCATTTCAAGCTTTGTATTTTTCACTAATCAACTATTATATATCATATACTGAAATTGCACAAGAATATGTAACAAATCATAAGCTAATTAAACTTTAATTATTAACAAGTTTATTATTAGAGAATTATTTGTATAGATAATATTTCACATATTAGAAGTATTAAAAGAAAGTAAATAAAAGATATTCCATGTAATATACGATAAAGTGATGAATACCAAATTCAACTTCTTATAAATATACAAGTATAATAAAAATGATAAATCATATCAGTGAAACATCAAATCTTATATGGCAACTAAACTTGTTAAAAGGATGAACTTTCATTTTATACCTATTCTCTTAATTGTAAACATACATAGTTACTAAATTTTACCATTTAATTTTTAATGTAAATCTAATAAATAATGCATTATTAAGCGTAAAATTAGAAATTAAAAATTACATTTTTTCATTATCTTGCTTTCTAACTTGTAGAAAATTAAAAATAATTTATTTTCTTACTTTACTTTTAGTAAAAATCAAACATATTTATCAAACATGTCTACAAAATTACTATAATATTATCGTTAATAAATATTAATATCATTTACTAATTTTTAATATAAAATACTGTTATAACCAAATTATGAAAATAATTATTTATTTAAAAATTACAATATGTGTGTAATGCTAATTTCAGAATGTCCAAATGTGATGCTACACCAATAATCTTTTGAAATTTTAATGTTGATATGTTTGATTGAAAATATTCATTTTTACAACATGATTTCTTAGGTAGGTTACATTTATAATTAAAAGAAATATAATATTACTTAAAAATTTAGTTTTTAACAATTATAAAAAATGATTTTGTAAAATGGAAAACTATGTAAGCAATTTATAATTATATCATTATATAATTAATATAGAAAGTGAATAATATAGTGTAATTTAAATATTTGTTTTAGCAATCATGCCCTTTTATAAAATAATAATTATGAATTGGGAAAGGAATACCTTATATAAATGACATGTTTAAATCATGTGAATCGATGGATAATAAGAGAATACTAAGATCCACAAAGTTGATTTATATTGCTAATTCGAGAAAAACTTAATATCATTTTAAAATTAGAATATTCAACTGTTCAATTGTTTAATAAAATATTGTGTAATACAGGTAACATTAAATCATAATATTACTACATGATGTAATGAAATGTATGACTCAAGAAGGAATATTTTTTGGTTTGCAATAATTACTAGGATAATAGTTTTAAGTCTACAATTTATTTTTAATATATTATGTCCTGATCATTATGCAGATGCATTTAGAAGTCCTATTGATCATTCTGAACGAATTTCATTATATGACAATATAATTACATATTTATTTAGTGGTCTTGCAAAATGGGATGGTGAATATTTCTTACACATTGCAAAATATGGTTACACATATGAAAATACCTTGGCTTTTTATCCATTGTATCCTATGTTAATTCGAGTTACTGCCATCTTTATAAGAACAATATTTTTTGTATTAAATATTCATAGCTCTGTACTTATTGCAGCTGTGTTAATTAATATTATATGTTTTGTAAAATCTGCTGTTGTATTTTATGATCTCAGTAAGGTAGTATTAAAAGCAAGTGTAGCTTATAAAGCAGCAATATTGTATTGCATAAATCCAGCTACCATATTTTTCTCAGCTATTTATTCAGAATCTTTATTTGCTTACTTAACATATTATAGTATGTTAAAATCCATTAAATTAGATCCATATGTATTTTTTCCAATAGGTTTATCCATTCTTACAAGATCAAATGGTATAGTTAATGTTGGTTTTCCTGTTTATTTTGAATTAAGAAAATTATTTTACACTTATACAGAAAAAGATGCAAATTTTTCATTAAAAGCACTTTATCAGTTTATCTTTAAAATAACTTCTTTAAAAAGTTTTTGTTTGATATTTAGTACAATAATTACATCAATAGTTCCATTACTTCTATTACAAATGTATAATTATATTATTTTTTGTATTCCTAATTTAAATCAAACATTTATTTTTAATCATATTGCTAATTCCAGCATAATAAACAATTTAGTGTTGCCTGGTAGTGATAATATAGAATGGTGTCACTTGAAAATTCCAGTAGCATATTCTTATATACAGAAAAAATATTGGAATGTAGGATTTATGAATTACTACAAAATAAAACAAATACCAAATTTTGTTTTAGCATTTCCAATATTATATATTATGATTAGATGCATAAAGGAATATTTTTTTGAACATAAAAAGTACTTTTATACATTGGGATTTATTAAAGATATTGAACATAATGTACAAACTGAAAGAAAAAAATATCCAATTGAAATGTTAGTATTTGTTCTTCATGGTTTATTTTTAACTGTATTTTGTATTCTGTTTGTGCATATTCAAGTAAGCACCCGTTTAATAAGTTCAGCAAGTCCATTAATATATTGGTATTGTGCTTTATCAATGTCTGACATATTTTATAATGATGATAATAGTATAGATAATAATAAAGAAAACATATTTTGGAAATGGAAGGTATTTTTTTTAACAATGAAAAGATATACTTTGAAAAATAAACTTATATTTTCCTATTTTCTTGGATATGCAGTAGTAGGTTGTTTTATGTTTCCAAACTTTTTACCATGGACATAGTTTATATATACATATGTATTGCGAAGATTTTATAGTTAATTTACTGTTATATTATAAATATGAATATATAATTGTATATAGAAAAAATGTAAAATGATGCTATACAAAAAACTATGTATTGTACGAAAATTATGTCCTTTCACATGAAGTATATAATTCAATGTATATTTGTGTATTATTTAATAAATAATAGGCATATTTTCATATAAATCACTTTACAACTATATGAATGAGGAAATATAAAAACTTGATATTATTTATAATCTTTATATTGCTTATATATTACATTCATTTAATATGGGACCTTTTATGTTTAAGAATTTCAATTGGTGTCAGGTACAATGTTTTTGCACAATTAGAACATTCATATACTTGTGCATTAGGTTTATGTTTAACATTGTCACAATGTTTATTGGCATCCTTTATATCTGTTTTGATACAAGATTGTTGATGTTGTAATTTCTCCATATTTGTTAGAATTACTTGCATGTTACAATTTTGACAATGCCATTCCGTTTCTGACATTTCTACAGAAAGTTTATTACTCCATTCAGTTTCTCTTATACTAAAAAGAAATTATTTTTATTTTATAATATAGAATCTTATTTCGTTATAGAGAAATGTATTTGTAATTTACCAATTGTATGTAATGATGTTTGTTACTCGAACTCCACCTTTAATTGAATTGGGAATTACTATGAAATCTAATTGAAAAGGATTTGGACTTATCAATGTGCTATTTTCACTATTTCCCACATATATTGTTTTAAGATCAGCTGGTAAAAGTCGTTTCAAGGTGTATGGTACAGTAGTATGCATATATTCAATTAGTTCCTGTGTAAGTGTGTACTCAAATTCACTGAAATCATGCTTTTCATCATTTCTAGTATTTGAATCTAAAAATTTGTATTGTATCTAACATTTATGTTTTGCTCTGAAGAATTATCTGGGAGATTATAACATATACAGCGTGTTTGTTTTATGTGAACTCCATGGAATATTAGAGAAATGACAAAGGACAGAAAAGAAATGTTAAAGAAATAATTTGGTATAAATGTCTTCTTTGTGGAGGAAGTGGCTGGTTAGATATCGAGGTCAAATTATTTTTTTTAATGGAAAGCTTCATATTAAACAATTTTTGTCTTAACAGACTTTTTTTTATCTTTCATCGTTTCCGAGATATTCCACAGAGTTCAGATAAAACAGGTACCCTGCATATAAAGTTAATATCTTTAATATAATTTACCTTGTAATCGTTGATTTAATAAAGAATCCCATTTATGTCGTAATTTGGTAGCTTTCAACAATAAAGTTTGACCACTATCAGGTATAGGAAATGTTAATTCCAACCAAGAATCACATACTATTCTAGAAAGAACAAAAAAAAAAAGTATTGATTTAATGTAAATTTCTATCTAAAATTTCATTAAATATAATATATACATACATCGAAAATGTACTATTTGTATCGACTTCACGTGCAAATAAAAGTAATGTCTGTGCAGCAGGCATTCTAAGTGTATTTACTAAATACGGCTTTGTTGTCTCCAAAAGAGATCTGTTAATGTAGTACAAGATTAATTAAAGTAAAAATTGTCCTTATGTTATTAGAAAATGTTATTAAGAGCTTACAGATATGTTAATATTATATGTTTTGGACTAACAGGAGTTTTACTTTTGAAACCTGTTACCGATACAACATCAGTTTCCTCTAACTGCAATATTTGCGGATGATTTCCAAAAAAACTCATTGGATGTAAAGCAATATATGGTTTTGCTTTTGTATGAAATAGTTGTTCGTTTGTTGACTACAAAAATTTATATTATTCATTGATGAACTTATTTTAAATATATATATAATAACATTACCTTACAATAATTAAATTCATCGGCACACGCAAATTGTGGATATAAACCGCTACAAAGGATTAATTTCAACATTGTTAAATCTTTGTAACTACATGCAGTAGCTGCTGTTAATAGGTTTTGTACTTGGTTTGGGTCATTTTTCATTCGAAATTCAATATCTTTTATATCAATTTCTCCATCATCCTGGTCATTATCTTCTAACTGAATGCCAAAGGATTCTAGTTTTAGTTGTTTTCGTCTTTTAGGTTCACATTGTCTATAAGTCTTTTTTAGAGATTTTAAAAGTTTAAGTTCTCCATGCCTTATAGCACGTTCTGCACTTGACATAGAAGAATTTGGTTCTGGAAGATTTTGTAGTAATTTGCAGTCCTGTTAATTACAAGCAATCTATCAAGTAATTAACATTTTAGAAGAATTTGATGAATATATTAGAAAGATAAGTGTAATTTACTTGAAGTAACTCCTTGAATTGTGCTCTCAATTTTATCATTTCATAAAATCTTTGTTCCTCCAAACCTCTTCTTTTGCACCATTTCCGACTACTATTTCGGTTATCTCTGGATTCTTGAGAATTCTGCTGTTTTACCTCTAACCACTCTCTAAATGCATTTAGTAATGTTATTGGATCACCATGATCAGATTCCAATTTTTTTCTAGATGTCTTTAAAAATTGTCATTCAGTATATATAAAATTAAATTATAAAAAAAGTTCATAAGTTAGAGTTTAGTACCTCACATTCTGTATCTCTATATGCTCTATTTGTAAATGGTGTTTGTATACTTAAAGCAGCAGCTAATGACAAGACTGGTTCTACTTGATGAAAAATAGAACCCATTATTAACATTTTTCCTATTGTTATATCAACAGGTAGACGTGCAAGTGTCTTTCCGATAGATGTTATTTTTTCATTATCCGTTAATGCACCCTGTGAATTGAAAATTTGTATTATTTTTTTTACGTTAATTATACTTTTACAAATTATTACATGATTTGTATAAATATATTAACATGCTCTTTTAAAGATAGTATAGAATTTTCTATGCTTTCTGCGGGTGGTGGTTCTATAAATGGAAATTTTCGTGTATCTGGAAGCCCCATTGCAATCATTTGTAAAAGTAAAGAATCTAAGGGTACACGTTGTAATTCTGGAGTTGAATATTTTTCTAAAGCCATATATTCTTCTTCAGAGTACAATCTACAAAGAAACTGTTTCTATATTAAGTCTTCAATGCACAAAATTATAAAAATATTACGAACTATATATTATAATCTATTATAATACCTATAACATATACCAGGTCCAGTTCTACCAGCTCTTCCTTTTCGTTGTTCTGCACTAGCTTTACTAATCCAGAATTCTTTAAGTTGTTGCATTTTGCATGATGGATCATAGCTCATTTCCTTTACTTTTCCACTATCAGCAACAAATCGAATTCCATCTATAGTAATAGAAGTTTCAGCAATGTTAGTAGACACAATACACTTTCTTATTCCTTCAGGAGCATAATCAAATACCTTTAAAAAGAAGGATATGACAGTTATAATAGGATTATAAACATGAAAACATTTTTTAAACTAAACATATGTTAAAAAAATTTACTTTATCTTGTTCACTGATAGCTAAAGTGCTATGAAGTGGTAAAACAATCCAATTACTTTTTTTTTGGCTATACTCTTTTGCTGCATCTACAACTGCACTAATTTCACTCATTCCACTTAAAAATATTAATAAGTCACCTTTTTCGTCAGCTAAAAGTACCAATCACTACTATGAGCACAAATAAAATAGATATTTTTTTATGATAAGTAAAATTATTTTACCTGGATATTTTTGGTCAATCATTTGCATTATTTGTATGTAAGGACTCGGATTAAATCTATCATTTCTATATCGAACATCTTCTATAACAATAGGCCTGTATAATAATTGAATAGGATATAATCTTCCAGGAACCTAAAAATGAATTAATTATTATTATAATATCTTCTTTAAAGTATTTGTCAGTTTTAAATGATAATAAATGTACTTGTATTATTTTAACATTTTCTTTGGTGAAGTAATTATTAAAAAGTTCAATATTAATAGTAGCAGACATAAGTACTAATTTTAGATCATGTCTTTGGTTAATAATGCATTTCATAATCCCAAGAAGAAAATCTCCATGTAAATGTCGCTCATGTACTTCATCCAGAACAATTACAACATATGGCAATGATTCAAATTCCCCAGACAGCTATGAAAGATGTACATAGATATTAAAATTATGATATTTAATGCATAAATTATGTTAGATATTTTTTATATTTTTATTTTTACCTGTCGTAATAAAAGACCTTCTGTTATAAAGGTAATTTTAGTATTTTGGCTTCTTTGCTTTTCAAAACGAATTTGGTATCCAACATTGTTATAATTTTCTGTCAATGTTTCAAAAGCAACACGTTTTGCTAAAGATATACAAGCTATTCTTCTTGGTTGTGTACAGGCTAAGAAAAGTTCTTTTTCATTACTCCATGTCATGTTTATCATACTACAAAGTTATAACCTTTTTAATTTGTAATAAAACTCACATACCAATCTTTTGGTAACCTGCTGCATATAAATATTGAGGTACTTGAGTCGATTTTCCACAACCAGTATCACCTGCTATTATAACTACTTGTTCATTTTTAACTGTTTCAATAATTTGATGCTTATATTGATAAACTGGTAAATTTGCTTGTGATTCTCTAAGTTTTTTTAATTTGACAAACTTTTCTTTTTGTTTGAAATCTAAGTATAAGATAATTATGTTTTGAAACTTCAATAAATGTTCTTTTGTTAATGCATCAATTGGTGGAATACGTGCAAATAATTCATTGAAATTATAACTCAACTTGAAATTTATGCAGTGTAATTTGTGGTATGTTTTTGGTATACCAATGGTATTTAATGAAGAATTAGCTGGGAGATCAGAAGCCTTTACTTTCTTTTGTACAGTTTCATATTTACTAACAAATTTCCAAAAATCATCGGTATCTTGAATTATATTTAAATTTCCTGAGAATACTTTATTTAATTCATATTTATACTTGCTGAAACAAAAATCTTCACAATCCTTATAAGAGATTTGTTGAGTAAAATCATTTTTTTTGGCCACAATATCTTTTTCATCTTTTTCATAACCTGTATTATAGGATGACTTAGAATTATCTTTACTTTTCTTTCGTTCACCACGTTGATCATATTGATATTTACGTTTAAATTTATTATTCAATTCATATCGTGAACTCATATTTTAAATAAAAAGATCTTAAACTAAATTTTTATATAACATAACCCCGAAAGTATATTTATGATATTTCATTATATGTTTCTATATTATTTACCTATTATAATATTTATATTTTATAGAAATATGCGTTATATCAGTCTGTTATATTTTGTATATTATCAAATATTTTAATATATTTTTGACAACATAACCTTTAGATGTTATACCAATATATCAATACAAATTATATTTTTATGAAATGCTTTCTCTTTTTAGTTAATATTTTTTGTTCATGAACGATGTATTTTTTTTCATTTAATATATTTATATTTTGTTAGGACAAGTTAAACCTTTATTTAATTTTCTTTAAAGACACTGGTTTGTTACATCGTAACGATACGCTTACTTATTAGTAACATTTTAGTTGTTAACATCTTAATAAGATCAGTAAGTTAACAAAATCAGTACTAATAGATTAAATTTTGCAATTATTCTATTTTGAATAATTCTTAAATTATATAAATTGAAGAAATTAAAAGATATAAATTATACCTCTTAATTTAAATAGCATTTCCGACATTTTTATGAGTTAGAAAAATTGATTTAAGAAATTAAATTCTATTTAATATAGCTTTTTAAATTATTGTATAACACTATTTTTATTTTTTTTAGTCGTATAATTAAATAAACAAATATGAATTATTTTAAGAATTTATTTCTCTGCTAATTCATGTTATACATTAATAAAACAGTGAATTTGCGTAGCAATGTCTATTTAATATACATGCAATATTTTACTGCGACACGATACTTTTATTACAGTATGTATAAAATGATTGCTCTAAGTAAGTTGTTCTAAGCTGCTACTCTAGTAAGCAATGTAAGAATATATTATAAAAGGTTATCGATGTCAAACAACACTTTGATCGATGTCTCCTTTACTTTCGTATCACTTCTAGTCAGTATTACTTTATACGATCTTTATGACATGTCATTTATCGTTGACAGTCGTTACTAAATCTCGATCAGCGATACTACAGCGCGTAGTCAGTGACAGATAATAATACAATCAGGGATCTGAATAGGGTGCCCATTTTCAGACGTATGAACGGTCGAATTTTCCCGATAATCAATTTTCGAGAGAGAAACTCGTGATTGCGTTCGTATCTCTCGAGTCGATTAACCTTATCACGCTTGCCAGATTAGCGTCAATCGTTTAGATGAGTGTTTCTGCCAGTGTCAGCCGATGGTGAACATATCCTGTGTGTTGTCTAGAAAATGATGGTCACTGTGATCCAGGCGAAGCTCGCGTCGATGATCATCATTGGCGTCGGCAGCTTTGTTGTAGGTGTTGCACCGGCATGTTTCGTTTCGCGCGTACGGTACCTTCAGCAGAAACTCCTACTTTCCTGCACTTTGTGTTTTGGTGGTGGCGTTTTATTCGCAACCGCCGTTCTGCACATGTTACCGGAAACTCGCGAATCTATGTCCAAATATGCGGAATTACTCTTCTCTTGCGGTTTTCTTCTTTTATACTTCATAGATGAATGTGTTCATTATTTTTGGGGCAGTGATGATCAGCATGTTTCTCAGCCAAATCGTCATGAAACCTGCAATTGGAACACTGGAAATCAGATGTATGTATTTTATTGCTGTGTTTTATAGTAATAGTAAAGTAGTAGAAGTATAATAAATTTGTGTTATTCGATATTTTGCTGCAGATTTATTAACAACTATGTTTCTACGTTGTATGTTGTTTCTATCCCATCGGAAAACTAATATCACGTTCTTCAGCTTGCTTTCCGATAATCGTCTTATTTTTCTACTCCTTTTATGTCATTGGACAAACTGCAAGAATCTTTATACGCGGGAAAGTAAACGAAAATTAAACGTTGAGCTGGAAAGATCGATTTATCATTTGATAAATCTTCCGATGGATTATACAACGTGTATATATGAACTGAAATTCCTGTTTCTTTCCATTCGATTTATCATTGAAACAAAAAAAAAGAAAGAAAGAAAATTTAAATATTTTTCTTGCAATATGTATAATGTATTTATACATGATAGCTTTCATTTTTTTTTCTTTTTTTGATTGTACGAATTAGAATAATGTAATAACAAACTTTAAATCACATGGAAAATTAATATTTTTAAAATAGAAATATGTTTGTAACGATATCATTTTTACAGAATGTGTTTGTGCGATTTCGTGCTCGGTGATGTTAATTATTTCGATACGGTACTAATCAATTGCAATACAATTAAGAGATATTATTACGATATTATCTTACATTACTGATATTATCACTTTTCTGTTTTGATAAGGTTGATATAAGAATCGGTTGATAGAAGAACGACCTGACTTGCCTTGAAAAACTAAGTTGCTTTTAAACTTAAAAGATATCGAAAAGCCGAGCTTAAATTAATGTTAAGTTATTATATCTTGATTCAATTTACCTGTAATAACAATTTCATATACTGTGTATATGAACTGTGTATATGTTGCGGAACCCGTGCTTCGAATCTAAAATCATAGATGGCTCTGATGTCAGTTTACTAACTCTGGTTATGTGCTCCGAATATATTTCAATAAATCAAATCGGCAGTGGAAAATTCACTAATTACGCAAAATCTGTGATTAATTTATGAACTTTCATAATTGCATCGTAAAGCCAGATCCTTCAAGAACTTTCCAATATATTTTTCGATATAAATTTGTCCCTAATTAATTAATTATTAATAATTATTCTGCGCAGTGTTTGAATTGTTTTCGAAGATTGTCGAAGACGCCGTTGGTTTTTCATTAATTACTATCCTGTACGCAATTAATTTATGAAACTTTATGCATTCATTAGAAGAACAATGTTCTTGCGAATCTTCCCATATAACTTTTGATCACATTTTGCTTCTAGTTTTGTTTAGTGTTATATATTTTCACGGAAGGTCGTGATGGCCGTCGTTACGAAATCATAGACGCCATCAAACAAAAATTAATAACTAACAATTTAGAGCTAAATTCTGTACGAAAATTATATAGGAATGCAGCCTGAAGTTCCAGCTTTGCAATGAAATTATAAAAGTTCACAAATTGTTTACGGAAATTGAGTAATTAATAATTTTTCACTGCCGGAGCCATTCTATCCTATTCTATCCCCTCTCTGTCCTTGCTGTCACGTGATCAGCTCTTCAACGACCTCCTTGCCTATTCTATATTCCTATTACTTTTCCGAGCAAATGGTCCAAAATCATAGATGGCGCTGATCGCAGGCGGTAAAATTGTTATTCGAACTAGATACTAGAAATCAATTCGGCAGTAGAAAATTAATAAATTTCCAAGTTTTTGCAATTATTTCGTGAACATTTATAGCTGCACAGCAAAGTTGCAATTATAGGCAACATTCTTATACAATATTTAATTTAATAATTAACACTTACATGAGCGATAGGTTTCGTATTTCCTGTAATAAATAAGATTGCTATAGAAAAGTGTTTTTTTTTTTGCATAATATTCTTATTATTTTGTAATAAATATATACTAACATAAGAAAGCAGAAAAAATAAATTTTTTTATTAAGAAATTTTATTTATAATTGTGTATTTACAATGTTTTCATAGGCGAAAAATGAATACAAAATAAAAAATATATTGAAAAAACTATGAACGGGAATCGAACCCTGGTCCTCCACTGTAGCAATTCTCGGTTGTCGCCGTTACGATGCAACTTAATTCGAAACATACTGGAAATAAATATGTAATTAAGAGAATTAGAATTAAGAGATTGTTAGAATATCGCATATGTAGTCCACTGTGACGAAACGAGGCTTAACCCATTTGCATCGTGGGCTCTACTTAAGGTGTGTTCAGGCATCAGCGACGTTCAACTGACGACTAGCCCGTATCACGCGCGCGTATCTGCACCTACTCATAATGGCAGTTAAAAAGATTTTCACAACAAAAGTAAAACTTGTTATGAATATAATGAACCGATGTAGATGAAAGTCTCACAAAAGGGATCAAACGTGATCTGTGGCATATGAAGAATATTCAGTAACTGGAAAAAAGTCAGCTTGCGGATTATTCCGCGCTCGGTGATAGGCGACAGTCGTAGCTCGCGGAATATTCCGCGGTTGGATGCAAATGGGTTAAAAAACGCGTAAAATAACTGAACTCGTTACACCCCTTTCTTAACAATACTGAATTAAAGCACCAGTTGGCAGTTGAAATTGTATCATGTATCGAGGTATTATGCACCAATGAACCGGTCAGTCGTACGCAACGCGAAAGTCAATCATGAAAATGGATTTCTGGATTGCAGGGAACGATGCCAGAGTCATCCGCAGCAAGTGAGCTATACTGTGGGTATGCGGAGCGTCAGAGGCATTTCCGGGACCGATTTTAATTCGAAACCGTCTTACCAGACGAACCTAGCCGGAAATGGAGCGGGCAGCAGTTGGAAAAACAGCACTTACGGGGCAATACAACATATGCCGTCTGCACCAGCTCGTTACGACGACGAGACGTTCTTATGCCATGGCAATCATTCGGAGCCGTGCGCAGATTCCAATACTAACCTTATGGGACTTTTATCAGCACTCACCGTCCACGCTATACTCGAGGGACTAGCGATTGGCTTGCAGAAGGTTACCTCTGAGGTGTGCAACGGTAAACGTTTTGTATAGGTGACACGAACGATGCGTGTAGCGTATCGTAACTTACTCCTATTTTTCCCCTACATTTTCAAACTCCAGTTTAGTGTATTTATTAACAAAATTTATTAACACGCTGAATTTATTTTATTAGTAACAGGAGAGAAACTTTCGTTAACTTTTGCCAAACTTTACAAGGAATACTCTGTTTCCACACTTCCAGGTGTACCTGCCTACTTTGAATTACTCTAGTTTCTTGTGCGGATATAAATTAAACGATGGTACCCAGATGCGGTATTTTGGTTTTCAGTTTTGTTCTTATAGGAAGAAAAATTAATTGTAGAATCCAGAAAGAGAAAGAGAGAAGTAGTAGAGAAAAGCACACACGCAATACAATAACATGGTTTTAAAAATGGTAATGTACATTTAGGATGAATTGTCACTTTTTACAGTTTCAAGGCTAATCTAACACGACGTAACGTTAATACAATTAATATTCAACTGACCATTCTCTAATACTCGCTAACATTCTCGCTAATTCGACTGTATTTTAACCCTTGCACCCTTATTTAACACTAGAACTACGAACCCAGTGAAAATGACTGGTCCCAGAATTTTCCTTTTTGCAACTACCGATCACATACACCTGCTTCAAGAATAAAATTGGTATCAACTCATATTAAGAAAGAACTGTAATCAATATATTCACTCATATTCATCGTACCGTTGAAATTACTATAATCTGTACAGGTTATAGTTAGGTACCCATTAAAGATCGGCAGTTCTAGTGTTTAACCTAATACTCCTTCTTCTTTCATATGCAGGCTTTCTTCCTCGATCACGCATTTCCCACGTGAGCCAGGTACTCCAAACACTCGGACATATTCACAAACTTTCGCTCGTTGCTCGCACTCGATACTGTCATAAATCCCTGCAATCCCTGAACCCGAGGTCTCTGTTTATTATCCTTCGTTCTCGAGGAACGACCTAAACGTTCCCATGCACTCACTCTTAAACGCTAAACATATCCTAAATACATTTGTAGAGACTTGGGTGGTGGTGGTAAGTAATACTATTTATTAGTAATAGAATAATAATGGATTAACAATGTATGGTGACGATTAAGCATACGAATTTATATGTAGGATGGCAGAACTGGTCTTGAGACACCGAAAATTCACGAAAGAACAGGAACACGATAACACGAACTCAAAACTCGTAAACTGATTTAACTTAGGGGAAGAACACCAAGATAACGAAAATACGCAAAGACGCACACTTTTAAAACTTTCTTTCCAACACCAAGCGACTCACGCTTGTGCTGGCCACAACCGATTTCTAAGGACTCTGTTTCGGTTGTCAAGGACCACGTTTTTATGCTTTCCTTAACCTACGCTTCACCTGCCCGTAGAGGAGTCACGCAACTTAATTTTGTTATATAGAATAACTTTTCGATTTGCTTCTAGAAGATATCGATCGGTTTACAATTTGTTTTTCTTGGCAATAGCCGATTCGCGATTTCTTTTGGTATCCTACATATATATCAACTACAACTTAAGATTACAACTCGATTCTACAACACAATGACAACTCAGCCTGTTTCAACTAAAATACAACTAAACAACTAACGACTAATAACTCTTCTCTACACAACTCTGTTCTGATCACTCCTAAGATCTCCAGGAACTCTCCGAAAGAACTCTTCCCGAGAATTGTCCGCTTCACGCCCATGCACCCTTATTTAAAACCCTATACTCTATCCTTTTCCATACCCATGCTCTCTTTCCCAATCACGCTTTTCCCATGCACTCCTTACAGCCTTGCCCTCAGCAGGTCACGTAGCCCAAACACTTAGACGCATTCCTAGCCACTCTTCAGTTGCAACCGATACTTCCATAAACATCCCGTTCACAAGGTCATTCATCCATTCGCACGCACTCCGCATGATACCCTAAACGCTCGAGCCAAACCCAAGTTTATTATCCTGCGATACTACATATTTAATATTCTGGTTGTCAGATAAGTATTATGTAAGTGGCGTTATTTATTGTCTTAGTATGACCCGAACTTTATCTAATTCTTGAAATGTTTTTGTTTCAGGTGTTCCTGTTGGTTGGAGCCGTCGCTTCCCATAAGTTCGTCGTTGGATTCTGCTTAGGATTAGAGTTAGCTGGAGCCAACAGCGGCCTTCTTAGGCTACTACTAGCGATCTTTGTGTTCTCCGCTGGATCCGCGCTTGGTATAGGAATTGGAATGTTAACATACAAGGTAAGAACGAAAGGTATCGTAAACTTCACTGTAATCCACGCTCGATATATTATTAATCCATATTTAATCTAATTTCACCCAGATTTTATTTTTCTGATCGTTAATGTAAATGTCGAATAAGAATCGAAGGTTGCATGTCACTCGAAAGACTATCTTTGTTTTGTCGCGAGATTCTGTTTCATTTATGTTTAATCGTAGCAAGAGGAAATGGAAAGTTATAACTCGTATAATGATTTTCGTAGGTAAAGAATAAGTGGACGGAGGTGGCTATACCGATTCTGCAAGGTTTAGCAGGTGGAACATTGTTGTACGTGACGGTTAGCGAAATCTTGCCAAGGGAGAGAGCAAGATGGCACAAAAGCCCTCGACGCTTCGCTGGTATTTTGCAGCTTCTTTCCGTGATTCTTGGTTTCGTTATTATCTTCCTTCTGAATAACTACATGGGCACGTGATCCTGCGGTTCTAGTTGTAGCTATTTGATAGAATAAATTAACTTAGATAAAGAATTTCAATAGTTAGACACGAAGGACTGAAAGGGAAGGAAAACGTTATGGAAGCTTTTGGAATAAATTTACTCGAAAAACTGTCTTTGTTTGCGTGTAAATACGAGTTACAGATGCACAAAGTGCCGTGTTGGAAAGAAAAAGAGGAAGATGTAAAGACTAGAAGCGTTTGAGTGGCTGAGAAGGAAGAAGAGAACGGGAAAGATAACATCCTTTAAAAATATTGTTTGAAAATAAAATGTTACGACGAAGTTGAAAAATATTTTAATTCTCGTTCGTTCTTCTTCTTTGCACGTTTAATACTTGTCATTCGAAGGAAATAAAACGCCAGCTACGCTATCGGCTCGAATGTTTGCGATCAATTTGACCAAAGGTGTTTATACTATATATAGAATAGAATTTTTATTTTTGATATTATAAATTACGTATGCTTCTATGAAGACAGTATTTGTCGAAGGTTCAATCATAGGTATAGCATTAAAATTTACTTGGAAATGTTGTAAAACATGAATATTCTTGTATCAGATTGGCGTATCCGACTAACTTTTACAAGGATGGATGATCAGGGTCGGCAATAGAAATAACATAAATTAGTTTTATCGCGTTTACAAAAATAATAAATAGTGATTAATCTATCAATAGTACCTAGCAATAACTAGCAGTTATAACTAGTGAGAAAAATTTTATTGTTATCGATACTTCGTTTCTTACTGTGTGTCTTGTAAAACGTCCAATTGTTAATCTTCCAACGACGACCTTTTTATAATAAAGTTACGTTATCCGCATAGAGCGAGAACGGATGAATTCAAGATGTCGTTTAATCCTTTTTATTACAACTTTTAACGAGATGAAGTCCACCTGTGTAGCTCGAGTTCGAAATTCATACACTGACGACTGCTCACTTCGACACTAGATTACACTGCCTCGAAGCAATCCCCAAGAAATAGGATCAAGATTATCAGACGTCCTATAAGTTTCCGAGATTCGCGCTTTTCTCATTTTTAAATAAATTATTCGCCAGCAGCGGGTGTTCGATGATATCGCCTTATTACCGAAGTTAGGTGCAATGTTGCGTTCAAGTTGCAATTAAATTAGGAACAGGTTCCAATTATATTGAAAATATATTTCATTTGTTATAAATTTATAATCGCCAGGGATTTGATAGCGAAGTAAATGAAATTATTCGAATTGAGAAGATTCGAGTACAGGAATAAATCGGTAATTCATAAATCAATACGTAAATTTCTGGGTACCATTTCGCGAAAATTGATAGGTTGTCGTATTTTCTTTCATTGTTGTTCACGAGTGATCAGAATTGTTTTAATCATGAAGATTTTACAGTTTATTTGAGAAGTTTCGTTAATAGCTATGTTATGAGGTAAATTTCATAATGAAGTAAAATATTCTGTAAACAAGCCAACGTTGTGATTTAAAAATAGTAGTATCTTTCTTTAGATCTTTTATCGAGTTTTTTAATTGAATGATATATTAATACTGGATGTTAACACTATAAGAGTTACGAAGTCTCTGTAAGACTTCACCTAAACAATGATTAATATTCCAAGTCCAATGACACATTACTCGAACAAAGTTCGATGAAAAATGAATCGCGATAGCTAAAGATCTATCATTGCTTTGACAGCTGTTGCGATGACGGTAATCGAAGCAGTGAAGGAAAATTTTTCAATTTTCTTTCGTTATGTTCATCCTTGCTTTCCCATCCTAGGAACTTTTAACTAAATTATTTATTTTTATTATGCTCGTTTACTGTTCGATTTGATGGAATTTGTACGATTTTTCGAGTCGATGGAATTTTGATAAAAGAATGTGCAAAGTCGTTTATTAGAAACCTTTATAAAAGGAATATTTCCTCTTATTGTGTAACGTAATACATTACGTGACGAGCTAGCGAGGCGAGTATTCGATCGCCTGGTAATTCTCTTCAATTTCGAGGAACGATATTTTATTTACGACTGCTGCTTTGCGAACAATAAATTTCTTATCGCTTTTAATACAACCGCAGGATATTTATAGTTTATCGAAGCAACTTCCATCGAACTTCCATCGTGTATTCTATCTTCTTTTATTATACTTCGTAAGTTTTGATACGCCATTTTTCATACATAACTCAAGTTTAATACTAACTTTGTGTTCGATTGTCTTCTCTAAGGAGACAAAAATATGGAAAATTTGTAAATTCCGAGTGTAAAGAATTGAAGAGAAAAACTTGGAAAATAGAGTTCAGGGAAGTTAATAAGTATCGTATAAAATGATAATTGTCAGATAATAATATTCAGATAATAATTTTGTTATACTAAATATCGAAATCGTCGTCAAATAAGTAATTATCTACATATTTCTGTTTATTATTTGCTAGGGTAAAAAAAGAAAAAAATTATTTAATAAGGATCAAAGAATGGTATAAAATTAAATATCGTATAATATCGTTTAGTATTTATAACTGAAAAATATCACATCACCAATCATTCGGCTATTTCGCGAACGTTTGTGCGAATTTGGATATTTTGCAAGCTTAAATCGGTCACGGTAGGAAGTCGGAAAAACGGATGAAATTAATGAGCTTTCCGTCTCGTTTATATTGAAAAGCATCAAAAGGTCTAAATCCTGATTTGTTTCTCTCAGGGCAATGGTTCATTTGTTTTATTGCTGCTTTCCAACGTTGTTAATGAAACGGATAAGCTCGAAAGCCATATATTACCTTCCCTTTTACGTATTAAAACTTTGAAAAATCGTAACTTTTCATTTCCTGCTCTTTTTCATATTTTTGCAGAACGTAATGCGATATATTTGTTTAATACAGTGAAGAAATATTAATTTTTTCCTTACAATGCTTTGCAGTTAGTCGCAGTAAAATGTTCTTACACAAAAGAGAACATTATTTCTTAAAAACATTATTTCTTGAAAACATTATTTCTTAAAAAGATATGAAAAAAAATCATTCTTTTATTTTTCATTATTTAAATTTTCTCATAAAGTTCGTTCAATTCGATGTTGCATTTAATACAAGGAACCGAGAACGCAGCTTTCTTTTCGCCCTTATTCTGTTTATCAACGTCAAATTATCAAAATATCTCGAAGACATTAGCCCACCATCCATCGTATCGTCATCGTATCTAATTAGTCGGTTCATTAAAACACATGGTTCATCTTAACGACCCTCCAAGCAGAAAAATGAAGCTCAATTATTCTTATCGTGTTCCCGAGGCATTAAGAATTTAAGTACACACGTTGATTTATCGTCGGCTTTGCAAGAACTTAGCCGGACGTAAACTTCCTTCGTCTTCGTTAAACAACGACGATAATTTCACAAAGAGGTGCTTTACGTTTCGTCGCAAAGACTTCGAATTTCCGGCTGTCTTTCTTACATCCGCGTTAATTTCAGCGAGCAAAGAAAGAACAATCGGGACGTGCACAAAGTCGACGCGTGTATCGTTCCTCTCGACGACTTCTCTCCTATTTTTCCCTCTCCTCGTTCTCTTTCAAGTCACAAACAAGGCTTAATTATTCGTCGACGTTTCAAGCACGAAGTTTTCCGTCCGTCGTGCAATTTACCAAATGGAGGCGAGCTGTCCTTTCACGGCTGTTCTTTCACGAAAAAATTCCCTGGTCCACGGCCTGACGGTAATTGCAGCCCGATTATAAAGTCGGTTTGAACGTTTTCCTTTTCCCTTAGGCTTTCCTTTTCTCCCTTACGATGAAATTCCTCTCTATCTCTCTCTCTCCCTCGATTGTTTAGAACGTAAAATTACGCCAGGGAATTTAATCCATTAGCGAGTTACTTGAATCCGGCACCCTCTTGGAATACATCCATGCCCGAAGTGCCGCGTTTTATCTTCCCTCTCGTAATCGCGTTCGTTACTTCCGGCCGTAGAAGGGATTTATCTTCCTCCAGTTTAAAGCATCCGGGCTAATTTAAATCGTGGCGATCGTTCTTCCATGCTGGAATGAAGTTTTTTATTAGTTGGTTATTACCGGAAGTTTGCGGAAACCTTTACGTATTTGTTGGCTGAGTGAATCGTAAAAAGAGGGAGAGAGAGAGAGAGAGAGAGATAGAGGGATGGAGAGAGATAGAAGAAGAAGAGAATGAAAATGATTCATTTTGCGTTTATCGTAAAGCAGGTTTGTAATTTTAATAGAGATTTGAAGCAGTTGGAGTGTTTCACATGATCAGTCCATTTCACTCGATAATATATGCTAATTATCTAACGAATTATTTACCTTCTGATAATACTAGTTAATCCTTTCTTCCCTGAAGTAAGGCGCAATTTTTCCTCTATTAACTAGTTTTTATTTTTGATAAAATCGTAGTTACAGCTATATCTAGGTACACGTGAACTTGTAATTATTTAAAAAAGCACCAAGTAATGAACCACGAAGCAAGATATTCCCAGTGGAATCTATTTATTAATATTTATTAATAATTTGTTTGGAATTACCTCTCAATCGGAATTGAATAAGCCGATGTGAAATTTGCGCATCGAATGGTGTATTTCGCACTGGTCAAAATTTACTTGGATACACATTAATCTCGTTTATATTAGCATCAATAAATATCGGCATTTTTCGCGATGCACAAGACGCGCTGAAAGTCGATAAATGTTTATTACAAATATATCTCGTAATCAATGCGTCTGGTAAACAAATTTGAAATATCACGAACTTTTTTCTTTTAGCTCTTCAAATGCTAACACATTTCCTGTTTTCGATATTTCATTGTAACACCGTTGACATAATTTATAAAAATATTATAGGTAATAATAATTTATTATCATCACAAGCAAGAGTTGCGTTTATTGCAAGAGAGAAAAATATTTCAAAAATGTCTTACTAACTTTAATCATTTTAACATTATTAAATGACTACTTGCATAGTAGCACGAGTACCTATTTCGCTTAAAGCATAATCGGCGTTAAACAATTGCGTCGTAA